TCTCAAAATATTTTTCGTCGAGATAAGGCGAGTTGACTTACAAACTGTACTGCGGTGGGAGAACGGTATCGAAAACTTTCAGCAAGTCGAACGCTACCGGGGCGGTTCTCTCACAGGGACGATTACAAGTTAAATGATGTGGTGGTGCTGTGCACTCCATGCAAGTCATGCTGATGCTTCGCTGGTGTTAAGCAGCAGATAAGTCCTCTAGGCCTCAAGTTTCTTCACTACTGATAATAGTAGTTAGTAATCCTGATACGAATGACCTTCTGTAGAGGGTATCAATTACAGCCGGGAAATCAGGTCGAATTTGGGAACCACCGGTGGGAGAAGCGTTACACTGCAGCAGTGACCACCTTGAAAAACTGGCTTTCTTAAAATACGTTCTGTTGGTGTGGAGAGAGCGACAAAAGGGTTATCGTTTCACTCGTCGAGCGCGGTATGCACGCGCTACTGTTTTTTACCCTCTGCTATTGACGTGACCGAAATTTCCCTTACTATTGAAGCTCAGGAAAAATGTCAAACCTTCGGTGTCGTGTCAGACTACCAACTAAATTAAGTTAAGAGGTACATACGTTTGGTGGATGTAAACGATAGATAGGTCGATATTTATAAGAATATGCGCTAGCTATGTGTGTTCTGCCTGGTGGTACTGGTTGACAGGGTCGAAGTGATAAGGCGCTGCAAACTCTGCAGCATACCCTCTTGCCCTGTGACCCAGTCACGGATGGGCAAGTCCAGAAAATGGCACCCCTCAGGTTGGCGTTTCATGTTGCCTTGTTTCGATATATTCTGTTCTGACACGCGGGCAAATGACATCAGGTACCAATATTGTTATTCACTCAGCAAACAATGCTTAAGTAGGAGGAGAAAGACGAGGGGAGTTTTGTTGTTCAGATGAGCAATACCCACCGTTGCGTTGGGGCGGGTTGTATGTTGCAAGAGTTACAAACAATCTTGTGGAATCCGAATGGAGCTGTACTTTCTTAGGGAGCAGACTCAATGCCAGCTCCAATGCGGAACAACTCTGCTACGAGGGTTCTCAAGGACAACAACGATTGGAAGGGTTAGGCGATATAAAAAAGATCAAGTTGGCGAAATATCATCCGTTGGTTGGTTGTACATTTAAAATGTGTATTTTTATCTTTTTTAAAGTTTTGTTGCATTTTTAATGCACCCATTTCTTGTTTTTAATGCATTAATTCCAAGCCCTAGTTAATGATTTAATTAATAGTTACATGTATTTTCCTATTATTTTGAAATTTGCACAAGCTTCATGTCTTATTTAGGCCTAATCTAATCAATTAACGTTTCTAGTTCTAGAATATGTGCCGAACGGGGAACTGTTCTGCAAACTGACTTATTTCCCCTTGGACTTATTCGGATATATCTAGCGGAAATCGCACTGGCTATTGGTAAATTCCTAAATTTTATACCCAAAACCTTGAATGATTCCTAACATTTTTTGGCATTTCTTACTTCAATCGCTTTAGACTTTCTCCACAATGCTGGTGTAATTTATCGTGACGTTAAGCCGGAAAACATTCTGCTGACTGCCGATTTCCACATAAAACTAACTGATTTCGGGCTTAGCAAGTGGCTGCGCTTGGGTGCAACTACGCGAACAATGTGCGGCACTTTCCAATATATGGGTACGATTTAAAGAAAAATTAATCAACCACAAATAACCATACCTTTAAGAATACATTAAAAGTGTCCAGTCATACCGTGGCATACGGCAACTATTTAAAAAGTAACAACTAAAAGAAAATGTTATTTAACAGACAACCAAATAAGCAAATCGATTTCTGAAAACGCAAATTTGTGCAAAAAACAATCAACTAAAATAGACTATTTTTAGATCAGGCGAATAATAGCACCCAGCACTAACAAAAAAAAAAAACCCCAAAACTATCACCGCATTCGAAATATCAAAACAAATTTTCGTTAAGTTGAAAAGAATTCCCGTAACAACTATTTAAAGAGCAAAACTGTAAAAATATTAAATTGTATTCTGAAATTTCCTCACGCACTTTATTAATATTTAAGCGCTTAAGATAGTGTTAAGATATTCATTTTGATTGTTGCGTCAAAATTTCATAAACTTCAATTCAACAAACTGCTGCCTCAGCTCAAGGTAATTTCACACGCCTCCTAATTCGAAAATGAATGCCCGCTCGCAGGTCTTTGACCTCACTATCGAGGGTCGTCAAGTAGACGAGGCTGTTGCCAGCATCTTTCATACGGTGCTTTTTCATCGCTGCCAAGGAAAGTATATGTATACGGGGGATGCTCAATATTCTATCGGCACAATCGGCTACACCGATGTGGACTGCGACTTCATTGACTTCACCTATGTGTGCTGCACCTCCGACAGTCTGCTGCGCACCGTCAAACGAGCTATCAACGTGTTCAGTGAGAAATTGCGTTCGAACGAAAGCTGCGGCTCAGGCCAAATAAGTTTAGAATTTTTTCAAAAGCGTAAATCACGCTGGCTGTTCCAACAGGAATGCATACCCTGGGAAGTGTGGACTGTTCATTTAGATCTCATCAAATACGAAAACGAAGACGATCGCCAGCTCAGCCGTGAGAATGTCTCAGATTTACTAACTGAAAAAGTGATATATATTACGGAGCTCATGAATCGATCGGATTATGTACCGAAGACACCGAGCCAAAGTGAGCTGGATCTCATTTTTGACACTTCGTATCCCGATGTTCAGCCGTATTTGTTTAAATTTGATTACTCGACTGCAGGCTCCCAGACACCGTCGGTCACCAACGCTGTTAAAAAGATTTTCAAGGAGACATTTACGTTGTGACGTGTGGTGGTCGCGAGTGAGCGCAGCCACCGCCAACAACCACAACAACAAGAGCAGCAGCAGCAATCATTGAAGAAAAATATCGTGAAACTACAGCCTGTGTGTGCTAAGGATACGATTGTTGTAGCGAGTGGAAAGTACTTCAGTGGTGGCACAAGTATTATGATTTCTCAACATGCCGAGCGCGCAGTAGTTCAACAATTGTCGGCGATGCAAATGAGCTGCAAGCACCGCACCAGTCCTCCACCTATGTCGGTGATAAGGTTGGCGAGCGAAAATCAATTTTGGCTGTTTTGGGCGGTTTGATTTTGTTATTCTTGTGTAAGCATAATCGCCTCGGGCCATTTTAATTGGACTCAATTAACCACTGCACACAATACAATGCATATTCAAGCATATGGATACTATATTTAGTTGCTAACCCTAATTTTAATGTTAATTGTTTACGGCTGTATTTATTGGCACACTGAAGAAACCGAAAAAGAAACCAACGTCAAGAGGCACTCAGTTTATGAAGAGTAAATAAATTAGAATAAATAATTGTCTACAATCTGACTAAATACAAAATTCTACAACAGAATGGCTACCATCGCATCTTAAATGCTGAAATAAACATGCGTCATACAAGTACATAGGTTTTAAAATCCTAATGTAAATATTGATCAACTTTCTCTAAAATTCTAAAAAATCAACGGTAATCTTTAGCGACTTGAAACTTCCACATTATTGGACAAAATTGAATGCGCTATAAAACTGTGTACTCAAAAAGATTCTAGTTTAAAACATTGGTTTATATGGGTTTTTTTAGAGAATGAACTATATTTTAATTGAAAATTCTTAAAAACAAATAATTAAACATAAGTGGCAAACAATATCGCTTTGAAAGGGGGGTGCTATAGATATGTCCAATACTGTATGTGTTCCGGGCCATAAAGGTAAAGAAGAAAACTGGATAGCAGACATTCAGGTCAAAAGGACACGAGCCATTCTTTGCAATATTATCACACACCATCAGAGAAGGGCTTCGGAGCGAAGAAATAGCGAACTTACTAGGAAGCGCTAGGAAAAAGAGCTATTGGGGGGATACAAAAATAAAATAGTTGGCAAGCTTCTTTGCTCGCAAATTAATAGCCAATTGCAGGTGAACATTTAAATGGCACTTAAGTTTAATTTTGGACTGTTATTTAAATGCCATTTCATTTACCTGGGGTATCAGATTACCTTTATTCAATATGCCAAAGAAATGGCAACACTGTTGCTTGTTCCTTGAAATTGTTGTTGCATTTGAATGTTTGTTTACATTTTGTGCTGAACAGCTGATTCTTGTTTGGTAGAAACACAGGGTTGCATTTCTCACATTTAAATAGCCACTCTGAATCTGGTTTAACATTTCAAGCTTAGAATCAATCGTATATTTTATTAATTTTTGTTGAGCTCAAAGCCGATTTTAAAGAAAGCACTAAATTATATATTATATGCATTTTAATTGGTTGATATTTCGATTTAGTCGAAATGTCAAAAATAATTTCCAAAAAAATTATTATGGGTTATGCACCGTGTATTACCGTTTATAAAAAACCTTTTTTCACGTTGTCTATGTGTGTTTGAATCTCTCATAAGACCTGGCTGACTGGAGACAATGTACCAATGTCAATTTGTGGACCTACCGTTGTCCACAAAATATAGGAGTGAATTTTTGGCCAGTTTTGACTATTTATATTTTGTTTATTTAATGTTTATAATTTTTTGTTTAAAAATCTAGCTGGTTATATAACAAACACCATATAAATTAAAGCCCATTAAATAGTAGTAGTTGGTTGAAGGTGTGCGACATTTTTCTAAAAAATTTTCTTTTATATGGAAGACACTGCCTGCAGAAAAAATTCCACAAAGAAATGGGATATTTTAGCAGCTCGAAACCTGCATTTCAATTTGCTGGGCTACAAAACTGCATTGAAAAATCGTTTCTAAAGATTAAAAAAAAAAAAACGTTTTTACCTTTTATTAAAAATTGGACAATTTTTATAAAGTTTGTACAAGATTTGAAATGTTAATTTACATATATGGGGTTTGTGGTATAACCAGCTAGGCTTTTATAAAAAAAAAAATAATGAACAACAGCAACCCATAACAAACACACACAAAAAACAAAATACATAGTCAGAGCTGGTAAAAAAACATCGCACTCTATTATTTCGAGGAAAAATGTATGTCGATCTACTGGTTACCTGATCAAATCATCGCTAGGTAACATTCACCTTTCGCGGCAAGTTATTTTTTTCCAATCGTATTATCGTATATTTAAAAAAAAAATAATGCTTTCTTCTAAATTTATTATTGCTTTTCCGAGACACAGGAGTAAACAATTTGCCGCTGTAGCAACGAGTTGGTTGTTGTTTGTTTTGGTGTACATGTACTATGTACGTATGTACGTGTATTTATGTTCGTAGTTTTAAGGTGAATTTGAGTGATTGGAGAACCCGAAAGTAAATAAACCCAAAAAATTAGACAGCAAGAGAGACAAAAAATAATAAACTTTGTTCTAAATTACGTTCGATTAGATTAGATAAAACCAATTTTTAAATATTTTGCTGGTATTTTTTATTAGTTTCACCCTTAAATAAAATTATGCTGATTTCTTCACAATATTCAAATAGTCGCAAAAAGTGCTACGTTGTAATTCAAACGACACTTTTCGACGTAAAAAAAAGTAAACGTAAACACAATAATCACATATGTATGTATGTATGCAGAATGCATTACATTAGAATGCCAGCCACCACTATCAGCCGCCCAGCACCGCCCTGTCAACTCAAAAAAAAAATAGATATATATATGTATATACACATATATATATACAATAATAATAATACACACAATAACAAAAACAAAAAACACGTGTGCCATGTTGTTGTTCACTGCTGTCGCGGTTGTAAGCACCTTATAGTTTTAGTTGTTATTGCTTGTGGTGGTGGTGTCATTTATGATTACTCAACAATTTTTCCACAGCACAGAAAAAAAAAATGCTATTGCAATTACATATTTACAATAGAACAAAAGAAAAATGGCGTGGAGCGATACTGAATCTTGATGTGCAGTTCACTTGACACGATTCAATTACACATTCAAATGAAGTTGGTCGGTTTGTTGGGTGGCAGACAGCCGGCCGTGTGACACGCGTGACTGAACGTCGTCTGCTGTGCGCTTTATTATTTTGTTGTTGTTTTTGTTTTTTTTTTTCGCATAACCAGCTAACGTCAAACAATAGTAGTAGGTGTAGGAGTATTAGTAACCCGTTTATATATACCCAGCAGTTCGGCTTACCCGCGTGTAAATTGCGCGCTTTTCAATTAAACAAGTTGCGATGCTGCTGCAGCGTTCTCAATTTTATGCGAACAAATTATTATTCGACAACGGTTACCGCATGCTTCTGCTTCTGCTTCTACTGACTGGAATATAAAATTTTCAGGCACGTCGCGCCGAAATTAAGGTAGCTATTTCACTATATTTTATTTTATTCAACTTTACTATGGTAATTTGGTTGTGCTCGCGTCAAATATTAGAGTTTATGCTGCCCTGAAGACGGCTGAACGCGTTATGAGCTGGGCTGAGTGGGCTGTGATAACTGACGCGTCTACCAACAACGCCAATCGAGCCGAATCGAAGAGCAAAACAAAGCGGCCAAAGGCAGGCGCGTGTGGCTATTACCGCCAGCGCTTTGTATGTATGTAGTATATAGATCGCCGTCGCTACACTACCGCCATCGCCCTCGTCGTCGTTGATGTTTTTGTTGTAGCTATTGACGCTATCATCGCCACCTTCCGTCACAACATCGTAGTTCTATTTTATGACGCGTGCGCGTGTGAATGCCGACTCTGTGCTGAGATCATAGAGCCGCTGGTTGAGTATTTAGTTAGCAGAACAAATCTGTGGACTTTTGACAAAGCAACCTCTGTGCTTGCTGTAGGTTGGAATTTAGAGTAAGTTATTAGAAACATCCATTTAAAAAATTTACATTTTTATTTGACTTTCATTAAGATATTATTTGGACTACTCCCATTAATGACTAAACATAAAAATATCATTCGAGAACTCAATGAATTACTGCTTTGAAGAGAAAATGACCTCACTCGAGAGAAGTTGTTTTGTCAAAAGTCCGCAGAAATGTTTTTTATGTCACGGAACACAATCGCTCAACAATTAAACTCTTTTCACGTACGTTTATTCCCTGCTTATGTATGTATCTAAGGTTGCGTTTATGTTGTAGCTGCGCTAAAAGCGAAGAGTTCTACGACTAGAGCATAGCACTACATCTACTCTTTGACGTGGTGTTTAAGTTGGAGCTGCATTAAAAGCTAACTGTCGTCCCTAAATTGGAGCGCTAAGCGTTGCGTTTTCCATTGTGAACGCGTGTCAGCGCGCGCTATCCCCAAATCAACGCGGCGTAATTTTTGACGTTTTCTCATTTCCTCTCGTTTCCTCTTTCACTCTTTCTTTCCGTCTTCTTTATCCAAATTCAACACGTAACGCCCTGTCAAAAATGAGAATTCCATTTGCCCGTCGCTAGCTTCGCGTTATTAGGTTTTTTCCCTACGCTATCCGGGCAGTATCGGTAATTAGAGCGTAAAAATAAGTTACTTACTCTCTCGAAAGTGCCAAAAATGTGTCAACACGTGCCAAAATTACGCATTTTTCTAGCGTGAGGAACGCTTTCTGGGCTGTGTTGGGCACGCACCCGCGGCCTCGTGTGGAACAAACCTATTGTTGATGCTCCATTCAAATTGTACTGGCATGAGGAGTTTTGACAGTTCTTTGGCGCTTGATGCGCCAATTAAGAGACGGCTGTAAGATAGAGAAGAGAGCACCAACTAGAGCACAGCGTAGAATTACGCTTCGATGTGGTGTTTACGTTGAAGCTGCGATAAGTGCGGTTTTAGTTTGAAACAAATCAAGAAAATCCGATTCCGATTAAGAAATGTTGTTATGTCTTCAAATGGTTTTTCATAATTTATTTAAAAGTACACGAGAAGCCTGCAAATTTTCTGCACACCCAATTAATGAGGAAAGGCAGATATCTGGCGAGTTTCGAAATTTTTATGAAGATTTAAGACGGGATCTCGTTAAGTTCTCGGAGTACATGCGAGTGAATACTGAAACGTTTGATTATACACAGAGCTGGGTCGTCATGATTCCTTTAGGAATTCAATTACTCCCAATTACAAATTAGAAGGAATTGGAATTAGGAATCAATCCTTCAGTCCACAGCAAAGGAATCGATTACTTTCTCAATTCCTTGAAGTCATTTCAAATGTAATGTTTTTTTTTAATTCCATTACAAGGAATTCATATTCTAATTGGAATAAATTACGTGCTGGTAATGTAATTTTTTCCAATTTCTTGAAAGGAATTGAAAATGTAATTGATTTTTTTTCAATTCCATTACCTGTAGTACTTTAGTTTTTTCAATTACCCAAAGGAATTGTAAAAGTGATCGAGAAACTGAAAGTGCATTCACGAATGTAAAATGTGGAATTCTTGTTGTGTCAAAGATCAAAATCGAAAGCACACATTGGACATCTTCTATCTATATCTATGTATAAA